ATGATTTCCTGTGCCAAAAAGAGCTGCTTCACAATATTCCCCCCCCCCCCCCCCCCCCATGCTTGGGGCGCTGTAGCTCACACACCCCTCCTGCCTCCAACACCTCGCAGACCCCAAAACTCCCCCCCTCAAGCAATGAAAAACCAACCGGGGCAGCCCTGCCTTGTCCCCATTTCAGCTACTTCGGCTTGCTCCTGCCGAAGTTGTAACGACAGAAAATGTAAATGAAAAAGAAGGGGAGGAAAGGCATCGCCTTGCCCGCAGAAGCTCGTTAGTTTGCCCCCCGTTTTCCGCCCCACATTGTGCAGGTTGGTCGAAGCAGAGACAAGCACCGAGAGCACGAGATTTGCTGAATTATTGACTTTTAATCAGCTGCTCCTGATAACCCGGCCCAGCTCCCCCCCGCCAGGCACTGAAACCCCCAGGAAAGCCGGGACTGCAGCCACATATTCCACTCCCTGGGGGGTGGGAGCCCCCGGAGCAGCACATCGGGGACTCAGCAAGTGTATAAATAAGTAAATGACTCAAATGAGGCTCCTTATCCTGCCGTTCTTTGGATGGCACCGCCTTAGTAACGTCTTCAAGCCCCAGCCTCATCCTCAGGAGGAAGGCAGAGCCTGGTGCCATGGCCCAGGCGCTGGGATGCTGCTGCAGCATCACCCACCCCCCAAAGGCTGGAGCGTCCCTGTCCCCCCCCACTGCTGCCATGGGGATGCCGGGGACCAGGGGGAGAGAAACCCCTTTCAGCTGCAGCCCTGCAGCCCCGCTCCGCCCTCCCCGGGTAAAAAATTCACTGCCTCAAAAAGTTGACACGTCAAATCACAAAAGGACCAAAATGTGGCTTCAAAACCAAACTTGTTTTTCTACATCCCGGCTCATTAGTGGCACAGAGCAAGAAAGCAACAAGCAACCCATTTAAATTGTAGATTCTGACCTTTACGCTTTAAGATCTTTTCAGACATCCTGTTTACAGCTTTTTTTTTTTTGTGCTGGCACTTCATAATCCTCAAAATGAGATTTTATGCAGCTTTTTTTTGACTATTATAATTCACCACATCCCCTTTTTTTTTTTTTTTTTTCTCCTCCTGAGACAGGCTGGGTAATTAGAAGTTTCTGAAAAGACCCACAGATGAGGGCTGCAGCCTGCTGCCTTGGCTGCTCCAGTGTCCCCACGGCAGCGGGGACCCGGCGTTCACCCCGAGCCCTTCCGCAGTGAAAGTCACTCCGGTGCCAGGGCACCGAGCGCCGTGGGCTCCGCTCCCCCGGATCAAGCCGTCTGCAGAAACCTCAGCAGTGGCTTTTGGCTCAAAACCCGCCGGCCCTGACGTAGGGATTTATTTGATGTACTTGGGGACACTTAAGGCCAATGTCAAAAGTCTCCCCGGGCAATAACCTCGAGGTCTTTGCGGTGAAAAAAAAATAATTAAAAAATCACCCTTCCAGCCCTGTAGAACTGGGTCCTTCTGGTGCAGCATCGCTGGGAGCCGCTCAGGCTGCTGAGAGCGATTTGGAGCAGCTTCATTTACGTCAGGGTCAATAAGGAAAATATATCTGATGTTTCAGGATGAGCCCTCATTGCTCTTGGGACAAGCCTAGCCCTGAAAAAGCAAAACAAAACCGTCTTTGAAAGTTGTTTTTGTGAGGGCTATTGTAAACCGATGGCTCTAAATTTTGCCTCGCACCCTCCGTGCATACTCCAGCCCAGGGTGCAGGAGAGGGGGTAAAGAAAAGCCAGCAAGGCAGGAAGCAAACTTTGTTCTGATGGACTCTCGTCCAGGGAGAAGGTCCCGTGCAGCCCACTGGGAGAGGTGGAATATTTGTGAACACCCCTCTGGGGAGCTGCGGAGGAGACACCGCTGGTTTTACAAAATGCAAGGCACAATTGCTGGGCTTGTGGGGAAAACGGGACCGTTTGGAAGCAGAGAAAGCCCTTGGGTGGTGGGATCCGCCGACCCGGCGTGGGGGTCTCCGGGCAGGGGACTGCGTGGCGGCTGCTGTCAGCTGGTGACAGGTCTTGGCTCCAACACCCCCCCCCAGTCCCCCCCAGTAGGGGAAACACGCTGCTGGTGCGTTTGCATGGCCAAACCCAAGAAACTGAGTACGGGGAGGATAAAAATAGTACAAAGAGCTCTTCAGCCCCCAGCCTGGAGCTGAGGCAGCACTCGCCAGCCTGGTTTCCTATGGAAACAAGCCGCCGTGGTCCATGTGCCGGCCTGCGGCGGCCTGCGGCGGCTGGGGATGGCAACCTCGCGCGTGGGTGCTCTCGACGGCACCCTGGACCCCGCTGAGGCCGCAGTTTGCCTCGGCGGGGACAGCAGCAGGATCCATCCCTCCCCTCAGCCTCCACCTTCCCGAAAATCCCGGCCTCCCCACTCGGGGAGCGGGGGGCTGCCGGCGGGACACTGGGATCCCCGGACCCCAGCAAATCCCAGCCACTGCGGGCAGCTATGGCTCGGGGTCCCCCGGGGGGCACCCAGAAAAACGCCGCCCTCGCCTGCAGCCAAGGTGCTCGCGGGAGAAAGGTCCCACGGAAGGTTGTTGCCTTAAGCCCGTTAAGGCAGCGGGATTTTCTCTAGATCCTTTTTTAATTATCTCCTGACCCGGAGGGACTCGGGGTGTGCTGC